CTGAGGAAGGGTCACCGGACCCGAAATGTTAGCTCTGTTTTCTCCTCCACAGATGCTGCCAGACCTGCTGAGCTTTTCCTGCAACTTTGTTTTTGTCACTCCACTGTGTTTTGTGGTTCAAATTTGAACAAGCCTGAGCTCGGCCTTGTGCACATCCAGGGTCAGCATTATCCTGCTGACTTCAGAATGTTATTTGTGGTACATGCTCTGTCTCGATAATTATCCCAAAGTATAGAGAGAGCCACTCGCCTGATGACAATCTGAAAATAAATCACTCACAGGCCATTATAGAAGTACAATACTGGTTTTTCCAGTCTGTCTCGGGTAATGGAAAATGGACGTACACTTGCTGCTTTCCTGGGTCTGAACTTTGAGCTCTTAATGCAGTTTGTGATGAAAAGTTTTTGCAGTTTATTTTAATAACCAAGTGATCCTTTGGGACCATTGATTTGAAAAAAAATGTGCTGAGGTCAGGGCAGGGCTGGCATTTATTTGTCATTGTAAGCAAATTCTGTATTTGTTAAAAGGAAGCAGGTTTAGCAACATGAGCAGGAATATGCTATTTAGCCCTTTGAACTTGCTTTGTTACTTTTCTCCCATAACCCCTAATACACAATTGACAAAAATGAAGATCCAAATTAGCATCAGCTATCATTTATGGGTATGTGTTCCAAACCTTTACTACCGCGTAGAAGTTTGCTAATTTTGCATCTGACGAGTCTGACTGTAATTGTTTTTTAGATTATGGGTCCTAGAGAGATGCCTCACTGGAGTAGCTCAATGGGAAACGAACCTTTCTACTCCATCACAAAAATTAAAGATTTTATAGAAGTATAGAAAGTTTAGTTTTAGCACAGAAAGAAGTACACACCTACTCATTACAGATAAACAATTGTGGACCCATTGACTACAATTGCATTATTAAAACTCCAACCCCCATAGAAAATGTTCCCATTGCACACACTGACGGACACAAATAATCACTTGTTATGAACAGAGGAGAAGACTAGGAGAGCAGTTCAATGGTCCCTGTCTACGTGGCTCATTGAGATGGTCCTTTATGACTTGTTAGGACCTGCTGCTCCTCAATCCATCTTCCTCCATGTTACTTTACATCACTTGCAGGCTGCACAGGGTGACTGGTTCACTTTTTTAAATTAAGTCTTTGACTTATTGGTCAAAAGCTACAGTTTATAGCAACTAATGAGGGAAAAATAAACTGGCTTTCTTCAGGCCTGAGGTGTTTTTATGGCAGAGCGAAGGACGGTTATTCCTTCGTGAGGTCTGATGGCTTCTGCACAAATGTGTACACAGTCAAGCTGCTCAGCCAATCACGTAGTTGTTGGCAGGCAGAAGATCTTTGTCATTGATCCCGGTCACCCTTCCAAAGACCAATCGGCTATTTGTTATTGGCCAAGTCACCACTCGGCCGTGGTCTCTAGAGTGTCCCCTCAACTTGTTATCACCTGAGCTGGACAGAAGAATGCTGCCAGCTAAGTCACAGCTGACACAGCGAAGAAAGAGCTGTCTCCTGATTTACTTCACAACTCAACTGATGTCGTTCAAGAGCAGATGTTTCATTGAGGTGGGGGTGGGGGGGTGAGGAGAAACAAGAGGACCAGCAGGAATGCAGTAAGTTTGTTGAACTTGCTGGTCCCTGCTGTATTACCCATTGCATGCACGCGGGTTATTAAAATAGCTCTTTGTAGGCCGACTTAAGGAACTCTGTGTTCTCATTTGTAAAGCTAAAATGAAATCCCTGTCAAGAATTATCTTCTCTCCCTTTGCTATTTTACCTTTAGTTAGGTTCAGCACAGGGTTACAATTTCCAAAATGTTGCCTGTGTGCTCTGTCAGCTGGCTGTTGGATAAAAAGACTTGTTAATGGTTCTGCCTGCTGTTTCCTCATATCTATCCATTACAGCATTTCAGGAAAGTAATGTAAAATATGCTGTCTACAATATGGGAAAAAAACTGATTTCCATATTCTGACCTTGGGGGGAAAAAATTAATTGTTCCCTCAGTCTGTGATTTCCCTCCTGCACCATCTACTTGGCTGTGTGTTGACAATCTGTTCATGTTGTAATATAAATTACCATGAGACATAGGAGCAGAAATTAGGCCATTCGGCCCATCGAGTCTGCTCCGTCTTTCAATCATGCCTGATAAGTTTCTCAAACCCATTCTCCTGCTTTCTGCCCGTGTAAGACCATAAAACGTTACAGCAAGATTATTGTCTGCATTATGTGAAGGCTAGGTTTCTAAGGGGCAGGTGGGCTAACATCCAGTTCTGAGGAAGGGTCACCGGACCCGAAATGTTAACTGTTTTCTTTTTCATCATAGGTGCTGCCAGACCGGCTGAACTTTTCCAGCAACTTCTTCTGTTTTTGTTCCTGATTCACAACATTCGCAGTTCTTTCGGTTTTTATTTAGGCCAACATCCAAAATAGGTTGCCTTAACTTTTATAGTGCATCATTGATGCTTATTTAGCCTAGTGTGGATTGCATATTAATGCAATTGGAAATGTAGTTACACCTCCGTGTTAGACGGAACAAATATTATCCCTGCAGCTGTGATATGACACATTTCATAAAAGTTTTAAAACACATTGACTGATGGAACTGAATTAAGTCTAAGCTTGGTCCATGTTTAGGCCTCAGCTGGGCTTTGTGTGCTGTCTTTGTGTCTGTGTCTGCAACCACAGGGGAGTGTCAAATCCGTTTTGTTTAATAACTGCTAAATTTTCAGCAGGTGAAAGTTCATTCATTTTTGAAGCATATTGATCCTCTGCCATTGTAGTTTTCACTCCTTTTATATATTTGGTTGCTGTTAGTTTTGGAGCATTGCTGCCAACCTCATCCTCATCCCCTGATGAACAAGCACCAGAGCAACTAGATTATGCTGATGTTGTAGTTAGGGTTGAAATATTGCCTGGGATATGTACAGTGACAGACATTATTAAGTGGTCTGACGTTTTTGGAAGCAAATAAATTGCTGGGCCTGAATGACATGTCTGCCAGTCTCCGAAGCTTAGTATTAGCAGAGCTAAGGCCATCATTTTTCCGCCTCCTCTCGATACCATGGGACTGCTGATGATGGGCAGTATTTAAAAAACCGGGAAGGATTAGACTGTGTCTGATTTATAGGCCAGTCACCCCAACCTCGGAGATGGTGAATTATTGGAAAGAATTGAGGGCCGTATTAATTGTCATGTGGCAGGACACAGACTAATTGAGGACAGGTTCACTTGTTAAGGGAAGGTCATACCTGATGAACTCTCTTTAAAATGTTATGGACTTCCTGTTGAGAGTAATATGTTTGCCTGTATAAATCCTTGCAAGACATTGGAGCATATCCCACATGACACAAGATTTGGAGATGTAGAAACCCCTTTGGCCAAGGGTAAGGGCAAGAGGATCTGGAATGTTACTGGCAGGAAGGAAATGTTGATGGTCAATGGCTGTTTTGTTTAATTTGGAAAACACTTTCCAGTGGGAATCCACAGGGCCCTAATGTGAACAGTTGTATATACAGCAAAGATTTAGCCTTAAGATAAGTGTGTCAAAGCGCACGCTATCTGTGGCACTGTCCCTAAACAGACTCGGTTCTATGAATGTCGTGAGGGCCAAGCTAGGGATGAGCTTGGTTGTTATAATGGGCAATGTCGTACTGTTTGGCAATCGTGCACTTTTCCCCATATTCAGTTCTGTTGACCAATAGAGTCGAATCTCTGGGTGATGTAGCAGACAAAATCTAAAAGTTTTACATCTAAGGTCACTTTTTATTCCTCTCACTGCCTCAATATATATTCTAAGGGAGTATTTCATTAGATTGATATTTTTGAAAACATTAAAAATACAGTTTCCCAATTCTGTGCAGGCATAATGCACATCTACAAGTTTCTCACATGTACCCTGCGTCACAATGGAGTAGACAAAATGTTTCTTAACTTTAGCTGACGTTTTTTTTTAAGGGTTCGTGTTGCTCCTGAGTCGAGCACAATTGGATCGCTGTAGTGAGGTATCTTTACAATGATGAGATTCTATATGCTTGGCTGGGTTGTCATTTGTACAGTTGTATCCTAGATTGTATGGGGAGTGGCAGTGATGACAGGCCAGGAGAATTCTGCAGCCAATTGAGTCTCCAAAAGGACAACGGCTTCAAATATTTGCAAGGTTCTGTTGTCGTTTTCAGATTAAATGTGTAATATCCTTTGCTGGCAGGATCCCAATGCAGATTTCTGGATTGTTCCAATAATCCAAGGGTTCGTGCAGATTGAAGAGCTGGTTGTCAATTATAATGAATCTTCA